AGATCATATTGGAGAAAAAGTATATATGCTTTTTATTTTTAGAATGGCATGTGGATAAATCATGGTTTCCCCCCTATGGTCTGGAATTAGGGAAAGCAGTTTTATGAACACTTATTTTAATACGAATATAACTTACTTTTTAATTTTAAATTAACACTGGTTTTAAAATATACAAATCAGCACAAAACATAAGATAAAACAGTGACTTACTTCTTTGAGATATGTTCCTTATGTCCATTCCATGTAGGTGTGCGTGCTGCGTGCATGCATTGTTGGAAGTTGTTTCCCTTAGCAGCACCCATTGGGCTAGCAGGGCCTGAAGTGGCACCACTATATCTGCTAATATTTTCCCCTATTGGCCCTCCATCCCCTCGGTTCCTTCTCACCGGACTATTCCAAAGAAGGGAAGGCAGGTGGGTTTTGGAATGGACATGAGCAACATATCTTGAAGAACAGTTACAGAGGTAAATAACTGCTTCTTCTTCGAGTGATTGCTCATATTCACCTTAAGAGGTAGCATCCGAGTTCTAACCCTCGACTGAGCAGAGGACAGCCCTACCTAGCGCTGTTTCTTCCCTAGCCTGGTGAGCCAGTGCATAATGATTGGCAAAGGTGTGGACTGAAGACCACATGGTGGCCCTGCAGAGATCCAGGATCAGGACCTGAGCCATGAAGGCCATGGAGGAGGCTTGGGCCCTAGTAGAGTGGGCTGCAAAGGAAGGAGCTGGCACCCTGGCCAGCCCATAGCACTCCTTGATACAGGACGTAATCCACGAGGAGCTCCTGAGGGTTTTAGGGTGGCCCAGGTGTCCTTAATGCTGTGCAGACGATGGTCAGTCTGCTCTGAGAACAGGGAGGGGCCCTTGAAAGGGAGGCCTTGGATAGTGGTCTAGAGCTCTGGAGGCACTCCAGACACCTGCAGCCAAGAGTTTCGGTGCATCACAAGGCCCGTGGCCATAGTGCGAGCTGCTGTGTCTGTGGCAGCCAGGGCTACCTGGAGGGGAGTTCCTGCTAATTCACTATGCAGAGCTGTAGGTCCCTGGAGGCATATGCCTTCCTGCCCAAAAAAATCGGCCTTCTTGACCTCCCTGCTCTTGGGCCTCGCACTTGGCTGTCCCTGCCTCTCCTGTTGATTAACCACCTGAACCACTACGGATCCGTGAGTGGGGATGGGAGAATATGAGAGAAGAGATGCTCATTCCCTTCTTGTAGCACAAAGTAACGGCGTTCGGCCTTCTTATTGGTGGGCGGGATGGAAGCTGGGGTCCGCCACAGTGTCTTCTTGATCTTTGTCACAGCTTTGTTCACTGGCATGGCCACCCTGGTGGGCACATTGACTTACAGGATGTTGACTGTCAGCTCCGAGTTATCTGACACCTTTTCAGCCTGTACCCCTAGACTCTGAGCCAGGTGAGAGAAGATCCTGGTGAGACCTTGAATACATGGAGGGCATAGGTGCTAGCACCCCTCCAAGGGCCTTGTCAGGGGATGAGGAAAATGATCCCTTGAGGGCCACCTCCCCTGCGTCCCAGGTCTGTGAAGGGGCTTGGGAGGCTGCTGAGGATGCCAGTGTGTGGGGCTGCAATGAGGATGGCTCTCTCTCCACTGAGGGTCTGAGTGAAGTCTGCCCCGGGGGTAGGGACTGGCCTGATGTAGGGGAGTGAGTTAGTGGAGCTGTTGATGGAGGGGCCCTGGGCCCAGAGATGATGGACTCTGCTCTGGAGGGGCCTACACCCTGGCTGTGGCGATATGGTCCAGAAGGGCTGTTGACCAGGAGCCTACCACTGGGGTGGCCAGGACTGCTGCCCTGGCTGCACCAGGGTCGGTTGTGGGGCCCAGGACTGTTGCTGGTGCCTAGATTGCACCAACAGGCTCTGGTGCTGGGAGTAGGACCTGTGCCTCGACCTTGACCTGGAGCCCTGTGATGATATGGCTGACTCCGCCTCTGAGTCGGTTGAGTATTTGGAGGTTGACCAGGGTGGTGCCATAGTTGTTATAGCCGACGACCTATGCCCAGAGGCATGCTGGGCCATAGACTCCAGCTTTCCTCGGTGTCAAGGGGGAGGTGGCTTTCCTCAGTGTCATCAAGGGCAACGGTGCCAGGCTGCTGACTGCCAAGGATGAAGAAGTGGATGAACCCAGTGAGGGTGTCCTGGCTCGGGGTCAATGCCAGTGGTACCACAGCAGCTGGTGCTGGCGTCAGGGCCGGTGTTGGTGTTGAGGTCAACGGCACTGGGGCGGGGCAGTAATGGGCCCTCATGTCCACTGCCAGGGCTGGTGGTGTGTGAATGCAACCTGGTGCCACTGAGCTTGATGCTCCTTAGGCAGGCCTGGTGGAGGGATGCCGATCCTGCCGATGCCACATGCCCCACCTGAGGATGCACCGACGGAACACTCTCTATTGAGACCTGCCCCATCTAGGTCTCTCTTTCATCTGAGGCACCGGAGACTGGGACCAGTGCCAAGGCCTCTTCAGTGCCGGAGAGGCGCGCAAATGGCTGGGGGTCTCCTGCACCAAAGCCAGTGCATTGTGGGTTGTCCGATGGGTCCAATGCCAGTGCTGGGTCCAATGCTAGTGCTGGGCAGAGAGCTGCTTCCATAAGCATGATCTTCAAGCGGGACTCTCTTTCTTGCTTGATCTGTGGCTTGAAACCCTTTGCAGGCCTCCGACAGATGAGCATCCCAAGGCACTTAGGCAGGCTTTATAGGGGTCTCCACAGGGCACTGGCTTCTGGCACTTAATGCAGGGCTTGAAGCCTTGGGCCCCACGCATGCCCTGCTGCATGTGCCTAAGTAAATTACTAATGCTTAACAGCTGCTTAAACTATTTACAACTGAGATAAGAACGAGGAACTAGAAAAATAAGTAGCAACAGAACTATGAACCAGTGAGAACTACAGGCAGTCCCCGACTTACGCGGATCCGACTTATGTCGGATCCGCACTTACGAACGGGGCTTTCTCGCCCCGGAGCTCGCAGGCAGCGGTCAGCCACCTCGACCTCTGGGGCGAGAAAAGCTGCTCCCGGTGCCCCTGGTCTGCTGGGGACCGTCTCCAGCAGACCAGGTAGCAACAGAACTATGAACCAGTGAGAACTACAGGCAGTCCCCGACTTACGCGGATCCGACTTATGTCGGATCCGCACTTACGAACGGGGCTTTCTCGCCCCGGAGCTCGCAGGCAGCGGTCAGCCACCTCGACCTCTGGGGCGAGAAAAGCTGCTCCCGGTGCCCCTGGTCTGCTGGGGACCGTCTCCAGCAGACCAGGGGCATCGGGAGCAAAGCTGCAGCCCCGGCGGGTTTGCTCGCGGTGTCCCTG